AATGGAGAACTCAGTGACCCAAGATGGTATCGCGACACTGTTGTCGAACAGATCCCTTGATTCGTTCTCTGCTCGACCTGAGATCGTCGTTCAGGTCGTGGATCTTAAACCTGTTGGAAATCGATACACGTAAGTTTCTTACCTATTTTTTTTTTTGTTGATTTTTTTCCCCATTTTCTTCACTCTAGGTTGTGTTTCCTTGGTAGATTCGGTAGTTGTTACAGATCTGTGCTTAAACCGGTGAACTGATTTGGTATGTATCGATCTGGGTTTCTTCTGATATGTTTAGAATAAGCTTCTGAAGTTTTGAGGTTCCTTTCAGTTTATGGATTAGGGTTTCTTGAGATTGATTCTCTATTTGAGATCTGGGTTTTGTTAGAGTTTTGCAAAGTCTTAATCTTTAGATTCGGATAAAGTCAGTAGTTTGTGTGATTTGGGTTTGTTGAATTCAATATTAATTGTTTCGATGAAATATCTTGACATGTGATTTTGTTGCTCAGGTTTAGCGCTAATGACGGAAATATGAAGATTAAAGCAATGTTACCTGCGACTTTAGCGTCTGATATCATCTCTGGAAAGATCCAGAATCTGGGTTTGATTCGTCTTCTTGATTATACCGTCAATGATATTCCAGGCAAATCAGAAGACAAGTAATAATAATAATCTCTTTCCCTTCTTTGATGATCAAATAAACAATGGATTTGTTTAAGTAAAACAGAAACTAATCTTTGTCTTCTTTACTATCTCCCCACTTTTCAGATATTTGCTTGTAACGAAATGTGAAGCTGTTGCTTCTGCACTTGACTCGGAGATTAAGCCGGCGTTTAAAGCTTCCACAGGGATAACGTTGAAACCGAAGCATGAGTTTGTTGCCAAATCAGCTTCACAAATAATCATTGAGCAGAGCGGAAAGTAAGCAATTTTTTTTAAAAAACATTTCTTTGATTCATGAGTTTTGTTATGAATGTTGCTTAAACAACCTCTGTGGTGGTGTTTGCAGTGCTGCACCAGCTGCAAGAATGGCTATGACCAGGAGGGTTCATCCGCTTGTGTCGTTGAACCCTTACCAAGGAAGTTGGACTATTAAAGTCCGTGTTACGAACAAAGGAGTCATGAGAACTTACAAAAACGCCAGAGGAGAAGGATGTGTCTTCAATGTGGAACTAACCGATGAGGAAGTAAGCCTGCTTTTGATGCTTTCTCTAGCTCTGATAATTGTCTTAGACTTTATTTGACGATTGATTTCTTTTATATGTGGAAATTCAGGGAACGCAGATTCAGGCAACGATGTTTAACGCAGCTGCTAAGAAGTTTTATGACAGATTTGAGATGGGAAAGGTCTATTATATATCGAGAGGATCGCTTAAGCTTGCTAATAAGCAGTTCAAGACGGTTCAGAATGATTATGAATTAACTCTAAATGAGAATTCAGAGGTTGAAGAAGCAAGGAACGAAGAAATGTTTATCCCTGAAACAAAATTCAACTTTGTACCCATTGATGAGTTGGGTACATATGTAAACCAAAAGGAGCTTGTTGGTAAGCACCATTTCCTAATTCTTGTTGGTAAACATTAGATAAGGATGATAATGACTTATGAATTTTATTCCGTGTCCAGATGTTATCGGTGTTGTCCAAAGTGTTTCTCCTACC